AGTTGGTGCAAAAGCAAGTGGTGGCCCTCACTAAGTGGATGGGGCTGCAGGAGGTGCAGGTATGGTTGTGTTATGTGGGAAGAGTTTCTGTCTCCCACTTAGTTAGACAAAAAAAAAAAAAAAATTGCAAAAAAAAAAAAAAAAGAGAGAGCGAGAAAGAAAGAAATGAAATACATAAGAAGAAAAATTTTCGAAATATTTTTTAAAGGGTAAAGTAAAGATAATGCAAAGAGAGAAAGAAAAGAAACCCACAATATCTGGGGAGGGAAGAATGAGAGAAAAGAGAAAAAGAATAGGGAAAACTCCAAAAGGAAAAAAAAGGATGAGAAGAACCAAAAGAAAGATAAAAGCAGGGAACTAAGAAAAGGGAAGAGCAAAAAAAAGAACCAGTGATGGGAGAAAATAAAAGAACGGGGGGGGGGGGGGGGGAAGGGGGAAAAAAAAAAAAAAAAAAAAAAAAAAAAAAAAAAAGGGGGGGGGGGGGGGGGGGGGGAGAAGAAAGGAGGAAAACAGTAAGAATGAAAACAAACAAAAATAAAACTGTGGGGTGTGGGGCACGGCACCCAGGCTCTGCCAGGGCACAGACCAAGATTGAACCCCCGCAGGTCAAGAAGGTGGGTGGAGGCGGGGGATGGCCACATCCCTGTTCACCAAGAGTGCTGCATGACAAAAGAATAACAAAGGGAATATCGTACCCCTCCAGTTGTCAGTCTTCAGTGCAGTTGCCAGTGCTGTCCTTGGCAGATAGAGCCCACTTCCAGGTTACAGTTCAAGCAAAAACACCACCCGTACATACTCAGAGCCAACTGCGCCAGCCACCTGCACCCTCAGGATAACCAAAAGCAGTCCACAGGTCCACCTTCCTCACTTTTCTCCCTTCTAATCATCAGGCACCAATGCAGTCCTTGCCCATGCAGCCTTGGTGAGAAGAGATGATTCTTAGGTTGCTATCAGGAAATATCCAAAATGGCTATGCCCTCAGGACAGCTGGCAGTCTTTAGCACCACTTGTCTCCTTACTCACTTTTTCACTCACGTTCTTTTACTAATTAATATTTAATCCACTTCTTTATCCTTTCCTTCAAAGTGCAGGATTCCAGGATCATCTTCTGCTCAGTTTCAATTGGTTTCTCATTGCTTTGTTGCAGAGGGTCTGTGGAGCTTGTCTGCCTATTCCGCCACCTTGCCAGAACTCTCTTTGACCTTCTTCTTTACCAAACATGATGCTCTTTTCCAGCAACTGGTCCTTCCCAATGATGTGTCCAAAGTAAGCTAGTCAAAGTTTCACCATTCTCACTTCTAAGAACATTCTGGCTGTATTTCTTCTAAGAATGATTTGTTCATTCTTTTGGCAGTTCATGGTATATTCAATAGTCTTCATCAATACCACAATTCAAATGCATCCATTTTTCTTTCATCTTTCTTTTTCATTATCCAAGTTCAGCATATGTAAGAACTGATGAAAATACCATGGCTTGGGGCAGATGCACTTTAGTCATCAAAGTGACATCTTTGCTTTTTAAAACTTTAACAAAGTCTTTTGCATCAGATTTGTCCAATGCAATACAGTTGGGTATTTTTCACTGCTGCTTCCATGAATGTTGATTATTGATCAAGTATGATGAAATCATTAAGAACTTTAATTTTTTCTCCATTTATCATGATTTCATTTATTGGTCCAATTATGAGGATGCAGTTATGAGGAGGCAGTCAAGAAAATATTTGTTGAAGGAAGAAAATAAGGAAAAACAGAAAAAAAACAGAAAACCAAAAACCTACCCTGGTTATTACACCTAGGGAAAAACAGAAAAGAAACCAAAAACCTACCTTGGTTATTACACCTAGGAATTTGGACAGCCTAGACTCAGACCTAAGGGTCTCAGTTCTATCTAGACTCTTCCCACTCTGCCATGGCATGGGTTTTTCTCACATATAACCATGTGAGATCAGTCACTACTAATTTATTCACACTTTTACAGATGAAAGTAATAGGCTCAGAAAGGTTAAGTAACTTTCCCAAGGGCACAGGCTAGTTCATATATCAACTAGCCTAGAATAAACCAATATTTCCTGTTTTTGAAGTTGATATTTTTCCTACCATATTCTGCTGCCTCCTGAAAATGACAGATACTATGGCTTACTAAGTTATATCCTGGCTGAAATAACAACTCATTCCTTGTGTGAAGTGTCCACAATGAGGGGTTTGTAAAATCTTTTTGTTTCCAGATACTAGAAGAACACTTAGAATATTCCTTGTAGCTAGGAATTCAGCCTTGGAAAGAGAAACAAATACATGATCTTTTGGATAAATTCATGTTTTCCTATCTTATACCAAGTAACAGCAAAGATGAAAATGGTAAAATCTACATTTATCTTTAGAATACATAAAATGTTTAAACACATATACATACATGCAGGATGGAGCAAAGTATCACAGAAAATAATCTAAGCAATAAAGTCAATGATCAAAATTCTGAACAACCTCTGAAATATAATAACTAAGTTGGAATGTTTCCATGGCAACAGCAGGATTATGAGGTTATGTGCTCCTTTTAAAATTAGCACATTCTTCCTAGGACTATTTTCCTGACATATTATCACAAAAAGGCTTTATGGAATTCCAAAGACAAAATATATGTTAAATGGAAATAACAGTTTCAGTGTGTAAAATTTTTACTGAAAACATGTCAAAAGAGTGAATACCATTTTACAAGTATCAATCACTTTGTTCAACCCAAAATATGTTTAGCCCTTGAAAAAGTCTTGAGGATTTGCTAAAGGCAAGACACACTGAGAATAAGTAACTTACTAGAAGTTACACAGCAAATACAAGTAAGAGCCTGAATTTAAATACTGGACTATCTACGTCCATAGTATGTGTGCTTTCCATTTTGCAAGTAACCATATAAAGTGGCAAATGTTACTGAAATGGAACAATAATTTTTAGTAAAAAGAGGAGGAAATAGTTAAAGGTGAAGGAAAAAAAGGAGGAGATAGAAATTATGACAAATCTGAAGTAAGAAAAGTACTTGTTTATTTGGCAAAGAAACTGTCTCCATGAATACCTCTCCCCAAGCAATGGCTGTCACAGTGCTCCTGAAATGCTAGAATTTTTAAAGGTACTTCATAGCTTCTATAATCAAAATTAAATTTTTTATTTAATAAATTAGAATCTTAAAATAATCATAATTTAAAAATATGATAAAATTAACTGAAGAACTCAGTAAGCTTTATTTTTTATGTTTATTATTATTTTGGCTAAGATTATATAAGGGTAAAGGAAAAGTTCTACTCAAATAACAAGGGAAAAAAAAACTGTTTTAGAGAATAAAAAGACTTTTTGGTCAAGAAATGCAAAATATTTGCTGTTGACCAAAAAAACCAAACTTATTGCCATCGAATTGATTCCAACTCATAGTGACCCCCTTGGGGTTTCCAAGGTGGAAAATCTTTATGGAAGTAGATTGCCTAGTCTTCCTTCCACAGATTGGTTAGTGGGCTTGAACCACCAATCTTCTGGTTAGCAGTCAAATGCCTTAGGCACTATGCTGTATGTTCCAATGTACTGTATCAGTCCACAGCTTTATGTCCTTTGCTTCAGTTTCTTCTTTACATATACGAATTAAGGGAACTTAGGGCCCAAGGCACTCGACTGCTAACCAGAAGGCTGGTGGTTTAAACCCACCAGCCACTCCTCGGAAGGAAGGTTGGGTAATCTAGTTCCATAGAGATACCACCTCGGAAACCCAAGGAGGGGTCACTATGAGTCGGAGCCGACTCGATGGCACATAGCAACAACAACAACAATAGCAAGAGATATTTTGGTATATACTAAATTAAACAAAAACAAAAGACCTTCATCATGAACGCTGGCAACAAATCATCTTAGTAACACTTAAAAATGTTTTAATAAGAGCTGAATACCTACACTAGGGGGATGCACTCCTTATAACAATCAACCATGGGAGATCAGAAGGGCAGCATTTGGACAGGGAGAAAGGTAGGGAGGCAAGAAAGCGCAGGCAAGGACAGAAGGAAAGGGTAACTACAGGGAGGAAGTGGAAGGTGAAATATTACACTGTGGGGAATGTAGTCATGTTACAAAACAAAACGTATATGAACTGTTGAATGTAAAACAAATCTGCTTTGTAAAATTTTATGCAAATCACAATATTTACGTTAAAAAAAAAAGGTTTTAGTAAAACCCCTATGCCTTAAAGGATAGAAATTAAAGTCACAACACACAGCTTGAAAGTCCCAGTTTGATTAAAGCCAATTATTTCACTAACATTGGCTCATTTTCCCTACAAGCTTATATTTAGTGTAGAGTAAGGAAAGATATTCCCATTTCAAGTGAAAAACTATGGGCATGCCAATGTATATCAAATGCTTAATACCGAACTGCTGTAAGAAAGCACAAGTATGTGGCTTTGGAAATTCCACAAGAATATAGTAGTTACTTAGCATATCTGTGTATTATAAAATAGCATAATGCCTAAGGCATTTGACTGCTAACCAGAAGGCTGGCGGTTCAAACCCACCAGCCACTCCTCAGAAGGAAGATGGAGCAATCTACTTCCATAGTGATACTGCCTCGGAAACCCAAGGAGGGGTCACTATTACTCGGGTCCGACTCGACAGCACATAACAACAACAACATGAATCTCTAAATAAATCATGAAATCCTAATACAGGATTCTTAACATCATATTTTTCTCTATTTAAAGTTTTGATTTTTTTTTGGTTCTAACCAAAATGTCAGCAAGTCTTCCAAAGTAAAACACAGAGGTTCGGGGGGAAAAAAAAAATCTGTTCAGAACAACCATTTACACCTTTATTGTGAATAAAATTGTTCCAAGAGAAATAAGAATTGAAAATTATCTTTCTAATCCATAAAAAATTCTGCTTTGTAAACAGAAAATGAAAGAAAGAAAATCCTGCTAATTTTTAGTTTCAAATGATCCGTCAACAGGAGAGAAGAAAAGTGATACCTGTACTTACTGTCGTTGGATCCCATGCTAATGAGGTCATCAGAATCAACATTGTGAACTATGGCTGCTTTGTATCCTGCTCTCTGTGCATTTAAAACCTGCAAGTCAGAAAACAGCCATGTTATAAAAGTCACATAAAGTCCCTCAGTGTAAGTAAGTAGAAATCAGTAAGCCTATATGATACATGTAGGACTACATTGTTTACACATACAGGAAAAGATCTCAGGTGTGTTCTTGAAATATAATGGATGTTTAACAATTGCTTTGTATCAAGGAGATCTTTCTGTATCTTCTTTACTTCATGGCATTAAATGAATTCAGAAGCAAATGAGGAATAAGAATATAAGCGTGTGTGTGTGTGTGTGTGTGTGTGTGTGTTATACAGCTGTCTAGCTCTAAAAAGGTGAAGAGACTTGCTGTAATCAGCTGTTACAAGATTCTGAGCATTCAAATCCTACCTCTGCTATTTATTAGTGGGATGAACTTGGAAAAATTACTTTTCCTCTTCCTCTTAAGTCCTCAGTTTCCTCCTCTGTAAAAGGGGAATAATAATATTGTTCTTGTATGTAAATATTATTGTAAAATAATATTTTTAAATGCTTAATACCATACCTAATACAAAAAAAAAAAAAAAGACTAAAATGAAAGCTATTCTTATTTGGGTGAAAGAAGGACAATGCACCAAATATGAGTGCTCAACATGGTGGCATTGAGGAAGAGGAAGACATAGAGACGTATATGGGAGGCGCAGACAACAAAGACAAACCCTTTCGCACATACAGTATTGCGTTGTCAGTGAAGGCAAACATGGGTGTATGGGTGGATAGATGGGTGGACAGGCTGAACTATTAGGTATGTCTATTCAGTGGGCAATGTCCCCGAGACCATGTATAGAGTTGGCAGACAAGTGTTCTACAAGTGTATTTGTATGTTCTGTAAGAATTCCCAGGTGTATAGTAGAGCTGACAAGGGACAAGGTTGTAGTCACTTCTTGGCCACAGCCAGCTACCCAGAAGGAGCAAGTAGTTAAGCCTGTGGGCTCAGGACCATAGTTGCAGGGAACATCAAGCTCAATTGGCATAACATACTACACAAAACATTGTTCTACCTCCTACTTTGGTGAGTAATGACTGGGACCTTAAAAGTTTGCAAGCAGCCATCTAGACGCAACAATGGGTGTCTCTTCTGGTCCAGAGCAAAGAAGAATGAAGAAAACCAAAGATTCATGGAAACAATTACTCCAAGCAACTGGTACACCATGCGATCCACAAGGTATACGACTATGAGACCAGGAAAAATAGATGGTGCCCAGCTACCACTGTCAACCACTCGGAGGGGGATCTAAGTAGGAGATCCTGGATAGAGATGTAGAACAACGTGGAATAAAACTCCAAATCATTTAGGGGGAAAAAAGGGAGGGGGATCAGGTTTGCTGGTCTGATAGAGCCTGGTGGAACCCCCTGAGACTATGGCCCTTAGCTGCCCCTCAGGTCTGGAATTGAACCCATACCTGTGGCTTCCAGCCAAACAAAAGACAGGTGTATGAACTGAACATTTACCTGAGGTAGATACACTCCTTGGAGAAAACAATAATAGGAGAAAGAAGAGCTGTTTATGCACAGGGAGACAGCTCAGGGGGCAGGAGTACATGGATGGATGGATACAGGGAAGGGGTACCTATTGGGAGGAAGTGGGAAGCAAGCTGTTGCACTGGGGTAAATTGTAGTCAATGTCATGAAACAAAGTGTATGTGAACTGTTGCACAGAAAGTGAATTTGCTCTGTAAACTTCCACTCAAATCACAATTTAAAAAAAAAAAAGGAAAGCTATTCTTATAATTATTTTAACAATCAATAATGTTCTCCAAAATTATCTTCTAACATTTTTCATGGATTAAAAATACTTAATACTTCCAACCAGAAGTTGCTTACTCTGATTCTATCTAGCTATTTTATCTTTCCTAAAGGTAGCCTCCAAAATAACAACCTTTGCACCCTGACAAGATGGCAGAATGACGGAATCAAAAACTCAGACCCATCCATCTATGGACAGCTGATCTTTGACAAAGGACCAAAACCCATTAATGGGGGAGATACAGCCTCTTTAACAAATGGTGCTAGCAAAATTGGATATCCACTTGTAGAAAAATGAAACAAGACTCATACACAAAAACAAACTCAAGCTGGATCAAAGATTTAAATGTAAAAATCAAAACTATAAAGCTCATCAAGGATAAAACAGGGGCAAATCTAGGGGCCCTAATTTATAGCATAAATAGACTATCAAGCATAACCCAAAATGCATAGGCAGTGGAAGAGAAACTAGATGACTGGGACCTTTTAAATTTTAAATTCTTATGTGCATCAAAAGACTTCTCCAAAAAGGTAAAAAGAGAACCTACAGATTGGGAAAAATATTTGGCTATGACAATCTGACAAAGGACTTATCTCCAAACTTTATAGAAAACTTCAACACCTCAACACCAGAAAGACAAACAACCTGATTCAAAAATGGACAAATAAACAGACACTTCACTAAAGAAGATATACAGGCAGCTAACAAACACATGAGAAAATGCTCACAATCATTAGCCATTAGAAAAATGCAAATCAAAACAATGAGATATCATCTCACCCCAGCAATAATAGCAAAGTACATCAAGACAGAAAATAACAAATGCTGGGGAGGCTAGGGAGAGACTGGAACTCTTACACCCTGCTGGTGGGACTGCAAAATGGTACAACCATTGTGGAAAATGGTATGGTGTTTCCTTAAAAAATTAAAATTAGAAATACCATTTGATCCAGCAATTCCATTAACAGGAATATAACCTAAAGAGGTAAGAGACACCCCCATGTTCATTGCAGCACAATTCACTATAGCAAAGAGATGGAAATAATAGGTTGCCCATCAACAGATGATTGGATAACCAAACTATGGTACATTCGTACAATGGAATACTATGCAATATTAAAGAATAATGAAGAATACATAAATCATCTCATAATATGGATGAATTTAGGGGATATTATGCTGAGTGAAATAAGTCAATCACCAAAGTACAAATATTGTATGAGCCCACTATGGTAAAAAGTCAAGGAAAGGTTTATTCAGGGAAGGAAACTCACTTTGTTGGTTCCTGGGGACAGATGGGAAGGGGAGGGAAAACATCCGGGGAAAAAAAAAAAAAAAAAGATGGCTGAATATGAGGAAGAATTTTTTCACATTTGTAATCTCAAAAGTATTCAATCATACACCTTAGCTAAGTTTTCAATTTCTTTTCAAAGCCAATTAAAGTACCTAGCCCCTGAAATAATACATATTTGAATTGTTACTCTGCAGAAGTATATGTATAAGAGCTTATCCACTCCTTGGAAGGAAGGTTGGGCAATCTACTTCCATAGTGATACCAGCTCAGAAACCCAAGGAGGGGTTGCTACGAGTCGGGTCCAACTCGACGGCATGTAACAACATCATCATCATCTCCGCTAGGGGTGGATTTTGTGTTTTGTCTTCTGAATGCCTATCAAGTCTTCAAAGTCTACCATCTCCATGAAGCCTGCCATGTCCCCATGGTCTCCAATTATTCACATTATCTGCTCCCTGCTTAGCATACCGATAGTAATTTGTTCACATTTTCCTTAAAGATCTTAGTGCCTTATATTCTACTTATGTATATGTACTATACCATTTCCAAATGGTCTTTAAATCTCCTGTAGTAAATCTGTGTGTATTTTTCTGGTGAGAAGAGAAAAAACAATCATCAATTTTACAACAAGCTTTCTGATTCTCAAATTACCAACAATCACCAATATAAATGAATGAATTTAAAACAATCTGCTATGTGCCTAACTAAGTCTAGCCATTACATTCTTAAAACTGTACCAAACAACTGTCCTGTTTACACATCCAAAAAGTAATTGTTTCCACAAATACAATATAAACTTATAATCATTATTACAAAAAAATTTTTTTTAAATTTTATCAATATGAAAAGCTGTTGCTTGCTAACAAAACAATGTTGTTGTTGTTGTTGTTATGTGCCGTCGAGTCGGCCCCGACTCATAGCGACCCCTCCTTGGGTTTCCGAGGCAGTATCACTACGGAAGTAGGATTGCCCAACCTTCCTTCCGAGGAGTGGCTGGTGGGTTTGAACCGCCAGCCTTCTGGTTAGCAGTCAAGTGCTTTAGCCACTATGCTACCAAAACTCCTAAAATAGAACACTTAGGGAATCCTAAAGTGAGAAAAAATTCTGTCAGCACAAGTGAGAATTTCCAAAAAATAACAACATGTTTTCAAAACGTAAGAAGTATGACACCTTCCTCCAAGGTTTGTTGTTGTTATTGATTTTTAAAATAAGGAAAGGAAATGAAATCAAGAAACACATTAACATATGGACCAACAAGCTTATGAACACAAACAAGGAAAATTTATCCATATTTACAAACTATAAAATTTATGTGTCAGTCAAGTTAAATTACATTTTCAACCAAGCAGCAGCTGGTATTTTTTAAGAACACATGAGACAGAAATAAAACCTAAACCATTTTGTAAGCATGTGTAAGGTTTCATATTTATAAAATGCAACCTCAAACACATGGTGTCAGATGGAAGCAAAGAATTGAAAGAAAGGTTCATGAATACTAAAGGATGCACAGTGAACCAACCTCAATCCAAAACAGCCATCAAAACTGAAAACGGCATCAAAAAGCCTTTTGAATTGTTACTGCCAATCTGTCATTTTAAAGAGACTGATCAGCGCTATTAGCTCAAATTGAGGTCAATGCATTAAATATTTTATAATCTAATCAATAAATTGTTATTATTACCTGCTGTCAAGTTGATTCCGACATAGGGCAACCCCATGTGCGAGTGTAGAACTGCTCCTCAAAATTTTTAAGGTTGTGATCTTTTGGAAGAAAGCAGATTGCCAAGACTGTTTTTCAAGGCTTGTGCACACCGCCAACTTTTAACTAGTAGTTGAGTACTTAATTGTCTGCACCATCTAGGTATCCCTAACCAACAAATTAGATGCTACTAAATTATCCAAACTAGGTGGCACCTAACCAAGAATTTTAAAGAAATGGGGAATGCAGCC